GTAACCATTTTTAAGTGCACAATTCAGAGACATTAATTACATTCACAATGTTGAGCAACCATCAGAACTACGTATTCCCAGAAAATTTTTATCACTCCAAACAGAAACTCTATAAACATTAAGCAATAACTGTACATTCTTCCCTCCTCCCAGTCCCTGCTACACTTTAATCTATTTTCTGTCCCAGTGAATTTGTCTATTCTAGATATTTCATGTCAGTGCAATCATACAATATTTGTGCTTTGATATCTGGTTCTTTTGCTTAGCTACATGTAATATCACACATGTCAAAATATTCATACAGAAATGAATGGAAACATAAACAGTTAATACCAACAACAATGCTCTCTTAAATACAAACAAAGATGAGCCCTTTTTATCTCATTGCATTTTTTTGTTTTTAAATGTTTTTAAAGTTTATTTATGTTGTAGTATCTTTGAGAACTTTCTTTCTTTTTAATGGCTAAATTATATGCATATTATGTGAGATATATATGTATATTACATAACATGGATATAAATATCACATTTTGCTTATCCATTCAACATTTCGGTTGTTTCTGTCTTTTGGCTACTGTAATTAATGCTGCAAGGAACACTGGCATTCAAGTACTATACCTGTTTGATACTATACCTGTTTGAGTCCTTGTTTTTAATTCTTTTGGGTAAATACCTAAAAGTGGAATCGCTAACTCATATGTAATTCTATGTTTAGTTTTTTGAGGAATCACCAAACTGTTTTCCATAGTAGCTGTACCATTTTACATCCCCATCTGTAATGTATGAGGGTTCTAATTTCTTTACGTCTTCACCAACACTCATTACTTTACTTTGTTTTTGGATAATACCCATCTAGTGAGTATGAAGTGGTACTCATTGTGATTTTGATTTGCATTTTTCAAAGACTAGTGATGCTGTGCATCTCTTCACATGATTCTTGGTCGTTAGTATATCTTTATGGAAGAAATGTCTACTGAAGTCCTTTACCCATTTTTAAATTGGGTGGCTTGTTTTTTGTTATTGCATTATAGTGGTTCTTTACATATTTTGGATATTAAACTCTTATCAGATATATAGTTTGTAAATATTTCTCCCATTCTATAGGACATTTTTCACTTTCTTTATAATGTCTTTTGATGCATAAAAGTTTTAATTGTGATTATGTCCAAATTATCTATTTTTCCTTTCTTACCTAAGCCTTTGGTGTCAAAGCAAAAAATTCATAGCAAATCCAATGTTATAAATATTTACATTATTATGTTTTCTTCCATGAGATTTATGGTTTTTAACTCATATATTTAGGTCATTGATCCATTTTGAGTTACTTTTTGCATATGTTGTGGGAGTTAGGGATCCCACTTCATTCTTTTGCATGTGGAAATTCAATTGACCTAGCACCATCTTTTAAATGTTCTACTATTTCCCCATTGAATGAACTTGATGACCTTGCCAAAAATTTTTGAACATAGATAAATGAGTTTAATGATATCTTTTGAAAAGCAAAATTATTTAATATTGCTGAATTTCTGTTTCTTATTATTTTTTAACTTTTGGTTAGTGCTATTTACAAAAAATCGAGTCAAAGTAATCTTTCCATACAAAAATTTATACATTCTCCTTTGTTCTAATTTTTATTTACAATGTGAAATGGAAATCAAGGCCCATTTTCTTTCGTATGGATGTCTGTCCTCCCAATGTCATTTATTGAAAAGATTATTTGAAGATTATTGGAAAAATTATTCAATTATGGTGATGGCTTTGTTGAAATCAATCATATATGTACAAGTGTATTCTGGACTTTTGTATTTTTTTCATTGATTTAGATGTCTGTGTTTACACCAATAGCATATTGTTAATTATAAGCATTTTATTGTAAGTCTTGAAATCAGGTAACTAATAAAAACCCTCTAATTTTGTTCTTTTTTTTTTTTTTTTTTTTTTTTTGAGACGGAGTCTTGCTCTGTCGCCCAGGCTGGAGTGAAGTGGCGCGATCTCGGCTCACTGCAAGCTCTGCCTCCCGGGTTCACGCCATTCTCCTGCCTCAGCCTCCCGAGTAGCTGGGACTACAGGCGCCCGCCACTGCGCCCGGCTAATTTTTTCTATTTTTAGTAGAGACGGGGTTTCACCATGGTCTCGATCTCCTGACCTTGTGATCCACCCGCCTTGGCCTCCCAAAGTGCTGGGATTACAGGCGTGAGCCACCGCGCCCGGCCTAATTTTGTTCTTTTTAAAACAATATTGACACATAATCAAATAAATGTGTACGTGTGATATTTTGTTGCATGCATAGAATAGGAAATGATCAAGTCAGGGCATTTAGGGTATCCGTTATCTTGAATATTTATCATTTCTATGTGTTGAGAACATTTCAATTCCTCCCTTCTAGATATTCTGATATATACAAAACATTGTCATTAGCTATAGCCACCCTATTCTGCTGTCAAACATTGTAACTTATTCATTCTATCTAACTATATGTTTGTGCCCATTAACTAATCCCTCTTCATCCTTCCTGCCACATGTTTCCCAGGCTCTGGTAACTTATTATTCCACTCTTTACTCCTATGAGATCAACTTTTTGAGCTTCCACATATGAGTGAGAATATGTGATATTTGTCTTTCTGTGCCTGGCGTAATTCATGTAACATGGTGACCTCCAGTTCCATCCATGTTGCTGCAAATGACAAGATAGCGTTTTTTTTTTTTTTTTTTTTTTTTTTTTTTTATGGCCAAATATTCTATTGGGTATACATACCACATTTACTTTATCCATTCATCTACTGATGGACACTTAGGTTGATTCTATGTCTGCTATTATGAATAGTACCGCAGTAAACAGGTGGGTGCAGGTGTTCCTTTGATATATTGTTTTTCTTTGCTTTGGATAATTACCCAGTAGTGGAATGGCTGGATCATATAGTAGTTCTATTTTTAGTTTTTTGAGAAGTCACCATATTATTTTCCATAGTGGCTATGCTAATGTGTATTCCCACCAATAGTGTACAAGAGTTCACTTTTCCTTTCACCCTTGCCAGCATCTGTTATTTTTCAAAATGTTTTGGCTATTCTCTGATCTTATCAACTTGCCAACATTTAACATAAATCTCGCTGAGATTTAATAGTTATTGTGTTTAATCTATAAATCAGCTTTAGGAGAATGAATGCCTTCATATTGTCTTATAATTTATAAAATGAATATTTGCTTCATTTATTTATTTAGATATCCTTAGTTTCTCTCAGTGAGACTTTCTAGCTTTTATTGTAGAGATATTGCACAATTTTATTATTTTCTTTTTGTTTTCTCATGAATACTATTTAAGAAATTTCATTTTCAGTTACTTGTTGCTAATAGGAATACATTAATTTATATATATTTATATATATAAATATATATAGCTAAATTTATGTATTACATAGCTAAATTTATTTATTACTTCTAGCAGATTGTTTTTTGGTAAATCTTTAGATATTCTTCATAGGCAGTTAGGCCAAATGCAAGCAAAAGTTTTCTTTTCTTCCTTCCTTTCTTCCACAAAGTTTATGACTTCTTTTGTTTGTCTTATTGCACTTTATGGGACTTTTAATACAATACTAAATAAAAGTAGTGAGAGTAAATATCCTTACCTTATTGTCAATTTTAGGGATTCATTTGTTTTCAACATTAAGTATGGTGTTAACTGTAGATTTTTTTGTACATGCTGTTGATAGTATTGAGGAAATTTCCTTCCATTTCTAATTGGTCTGTTTGTGTGCCTTGAAGAAGTGTTAAAGTTTTCCAGATAAATCTTTTATGATTTATTAATCTTGATTTTTTGAGAATTAAGGAAAACACATTAAGGTCTCCTAATTCCATTAACCTTTCCTTACACTGTCAACATATATATATGTATACACACACACACACACACACACATATAATATATTTGTATATTTATATATATTTGTGCATTATGTTCAGCATATATATGCACAAATATTTATAAAATTTATGTCTTTATTATAGAATATATTATTTCTCAATAAAATACTATTGCTTTTTGAATAATTATTTTTAAATAATTTTTAATACTTCTAATAAGTATGGTATTAATACTATACATTTCTGTCTCTTTTTGTTTCTCTCTCTGGCATCTCTTTCCAACTTCTTTTTAATTCAACATTTCTTATAGACAGTATTCCTTTTATTTAATCTGAGACTTTTTTCTTTTAATATATGCTTTAGGTTTAATGTTAAAATTTATGAACATAATTAATATGTGTGGTATAATAGATACAATGAAAGAAAGAAAGGAACTTGGCACTGCAGAGATAGAGAACACACAGCTTTTCAAGAACAAATAGAATATAAAAATAGATCAAGAATTATGCCTGCAGAAAAATTCCAATTAATTCCTAAAGCAAAATTAATATAGTCCACATTCCCCGAATATAATGTAATAAAATTAGAAGTTTAATACAGCTCTGCAGGTAAAACTTCAGAAATGATCCTCTAAATAAATTGTGGTATAAAGACAAAGTCTAAACTAAAATTAACAACTATCTTAATGCTAAAAGCCATTAAAGGCAGCATCTATCAAGAGCTATATTATCTTGCCAAAATGGTACTGAGCTGCAAAGTTATAGCATAAAAATGCATATACTTTAAAATAAATAAATAAAGCTAATAAATTATGCATGTGAAGTAAAAACCTAGAAAAGAAAAAAGTAAGAAAAATAAAAGGAATTACTAGAGATAAACACAGAAACTAATTAAATTGCAAACAGAAATAAAAAGTAAAGATGATCAAGACAATTAAAAGCAAACTCTTTAAAATTATCAAAGAGGTGGCCAAACTTGGATACTTTCACCAGTTACAAATACAAACAAATAATGGCAGGAATGAGAAAATAAATACCATTCTAGATATACAGGCAACCTTGTACTAGTCCATACTCACACTGATATAAAGAACTACCTGAAACTGGGTAATTTATGGAGAAAAGAGTTCTAATTGACTCACAGTTCTGTAGGCTGTACAGGAAGCATGGCTGGGGAGGCCTCAAGAAAGTTAAAGTCATGATGGATGACAAAGGAGATGCAGGCACATCTTACCATGGTGGAACAGGAGAGAGAGCAGAGAGGAAAGAGCTACACACTTCTAACCAACCAGATCTCATGAGAACTTACTATCATGAGAACAGCAAGGGGGAAATCTGCCACCATGATCCAACCACCACCTCCCACTGGGTCCCTCTCCCAACACTGGGAATTAAATTCAACAGGAGATTTGGGTGATGACACAGAGACAAACCATATCAAACGTAAGTATGGTTTATGTTATAAATTAAGCATCTTAGTAAGAATTATTTGCTAGTGACACAAATGGCAAAAGTTCACCTAAAGAATAGCAGAAATATTGATAGTGTCAGGTGAAATATTGAGAGTTTATTGCCCACCATAAAGGGAAATCAGGCGCAGGGTGTTTTTGGGTGAGGCTGACGGTACCTTTATAGAGATAACTTCTTTGTTATGTAATGTTTTTCGACTGACATAAAGAAATAGAATTTTTTCAAATAATTTTATGGGATAATATAACTCTGATATCAAGATTTAACAAAGAAAGCACAGACAAGAAAGCTAGTGAATACAGATATGAAAATTATAAATAAACTATTAGCAAATTAATTTCATGAATGTGTTAGCAGACTAATATTAATACATTATACCCAAAAGGCGTACACTGAGAGTACAAAAGTATTTCAAATTATGAAACATGTGCATTAATTTAATTAGTACATTAACAAAGGAGAACAGTGAGTAAACATCTCAATATGGATGAATAAATCATTTGATTCATTACAATATTTGTTACTGACTCAGAAGGAAGAAGCTCTTAGTAAGCAAGTTATAGAAATACATTCTTGGAACTGACTTTAAAAAATCTACCAGAAGCCTTAAGAAAACTGCATAAATAATAATGAAATATTTTAAATATTTTAAGTGTGGTAAGTTTAACAATGTCCCCTCCCCGCAACAATGTCTTAATTCCTAGAACTTGTGAATGTGTTACTTTACGTGTTAAAAGAGACTTTGCAGATGTGGTTAAGTTAAGAACCTTGAGAGTAAAAGATTATTCTGAATTATCTGGGTGATAGGAATTTAGACAGAGGTGAAGGCAATGTGATGATGGAAGCAAGCAAGAGGTTGGAGCGTTATGAAGAAGAAACCTTGATGCAAGGAATGCAGGTGGCTTACAGCAGCTGATAGGGACAAGGAACAGATCCTCCCTTGCAGAAGGGAGAGCATGTTCCCCTCAGAAGGAACCAGCCCTGCAGACACTTTGATTATAGCCCTGTACATCACATTCTGACGTCAGACCTCCAGAACTGTAAGGAAATACAGTTGTGGTGGGTTAAGTTACACAGTTTGTGGTAATATGTTATAGTGGTATCAGGAAAGCTAATACAAGGATAATCGGCAGTAAATCAGAAATAAGAAAAGGATCCCAGTACCATGTCAATATTGATGTTTGTTGGAGATGCTATACCATGCAATGAAATAAAAGTAAAATGTGTGTGTGTGTGTGTATATACACATACACACATATATATAGACACATGTACAAACACATATATATACACACATGACAAAGATAAAGTTATTGTCCACCAAAAGAAAAAAAATCAGCAAGAATCAATTAAAAAACTGTAAGAACTTGTAAGAGTCCAGGAAAGTAGCCAGCATAAAATAAATCAATATTAAAAAATCAATGGCTTTCTTATACACCAGCAATGACGAATTTAAAATGTAATAGGAAAATGAGTCCATTTAGAACAGCCACAAAGCTCATTAAATACTTATGGTTAGGCCTGACAAGAAAACTCGTAAAACTTATTTAGAAAATAGAAGTCTATTGAAGGTCATAACACAGGCCCTGAAAAAAAGAAGAAGTTATACTATGTTCTTGGTTAAGAAATATTCAGTATTTGAAAGAGGTAAACTCTCCCCCAAATTATTCTGCTTGTTAAAATTAATCTGAAAATTAAACTCTAAATATAATTTCTGAGGAATGTATAGGATTACTTTAAATTCATTATGGAAAAAATATTTGCAAAACACTAAGACAACATTTGAAAGGAAGACCCGTAAGAAACTAATCCCAACAATTATCAAAGCATATTATAGAATCATAGCAATTTAAACAGTGTGGTTATTGCAGGAAACAGTAAGCAAATTGATGGTATGTAATATAGAGTTCAGAAATATTCATGTTTTTATATGATTCAACTTATAAAAATGGATGGACTATATCACATTGATATTTGACAACTGATTATCAATCTGGAAAGTTTTATTTAGCTCTCTGTATAACCTCACTAGAAATAATGTACTATGGGTGGGTTAAGAAGCTAAATACTGAACAAGTCTCTGAAATTTTAGAAGAAAATACATGCAAATATTACATATCTTGGAACTGTAATGCTTTTCTAATTATAATACAAATCTAAACGTGACGAGAGACATAATCAGCAAACTCAACTGCACATGAATTATAAATTATGTGTGGTTAAACAGATGGAAAGAAAATATTTGCACCATCTATGAAAAATAAAGCATTAATCTTAAATACATTAGAATCCTACAAAAAACAAGAAAGAATAAACAGGTTAATAGGAAAATAAGCAAAAGATTTGAAACAATTTACACACACACATACACAAATACAGATGTCAACATTGGTAGTATTTACATTAGATTAGCAAAAATATAAATAAATGATAAACAATTAAGTACTGCCAAGGTGTTCTGGTTATAATTTACTGTGTAACAAATTACCCCTAAATTAACAGCTTTAAGCAACAAATGTTTATTATCTCATTGTTTCTGTGGATCAGGAGTCTGAGAGGTGCTTGGCTGGGCATTCCTCACTCAAGGCCTCTCATCAGGTTACAGTCAAACTGTTGGCTGGGGCTGCAGTCACCCAGGACTCTCCTGGGTCTGGAGGAGCCATTTCTAAACTCACTCACCTGGCGCTGGTGAGGCTGCAGCTTCTTGTGGAAGGCTGGACTGAGTGTCTCAGTTCCTTGGGTGTGCCATGCCACATGGGCCTGTCTATAGGAAAGCTCACAATATAGCCATCTTGATTCCCCCAGCATGAGAAGAAGGAAGAGAGAAGGAGAGGGAGAAAGAGAATGTGTGTTTGTGTGTCTGTGTCTGTGTGTGTGTGTGAGAAAGAGAATGTGTGTGTGTGTGCGTGTGTGTATGAGAAAGAGAGAGAATGAGAATGCGTCTCTGTGTGTGAGAGACAGAAAGAATGAGAATGTGTGTGTGAGAGAGAGAGAGAGAGAGGCAGAGAGAGACAGAGGGGAAGAGAGGGAGGGAGAGGGTAAGGCAATGTGTGTTTGTGAGAGAGAGAGGAGGAAAGATGGGGAAGAAGGGGAGAGAGAGAATGAGAATGTGTGTGTGAGAGAGAGAGAGAGAGAGGCAGAGAGAGACAGAGGGGAAGAGAGGGAGGGAGAGGGTAAGGCAATGTGTGTTTGTGAGAGAGAGAGGAGGAAAGATGGGGAAGAAGGGGAGAGAGAGAATGAGAATGTGTATATGTATTTGCATGTGTGTGAGCGAGAAGGAGAAGGGGAGAGTGAGAGTTAGATTATGTGTGTGTGTGAAACAGGGAGGGAGAGAGAGAAAGAAGTGAGAAAAAGAGAGAGAGAATGTGCGTGTGAAAGAGGAGAGGGGCAAGAGAGAATGTGAGCAAGAGAGAAGGAGAGGTGGGAAGGGTAGAGAGGGAAAGAGAGAAAGAATGAAAGTGTGTGTAAGTATGTGTATGTGTATGTGTGAGCAAGAAGGAGAGGAGAGAGAATGAGAATGAGATTATGCGTGTGTGTGTGTGTGAAAGAGAGAGATTCCTGCCAATGAAAGAGAAAGAAAATGCGTGTGTGTGTGTGTGTGTGTGTGTGTGTGTGAGAGAGAGAGAGAGAGGAGAGAGATGAGTGAGAAGAAGGGGGGGAGAGAGAGAATGTGTGTGTGAGAGAGAAGGAGGGAGAAAGAGAGAACGTCTGTGTTAGAGAAAGAGAGAGGAAGAGAGATGGGAAGGGGTGAGAGAGAAAGGGAAAGAGAGAATGAAAATGTGTGTATGTATGCATCTGTGTGTGAGAGAGAGGGGGAAGGAGGGAAAGAGAATGTGTGTGAGAGAGACAGAGAGAGGAGGGGGTAAGGGTGAGAGACATAAAGGTAATGTGTCTGTGTGAGAAAAGGGAGGGGTGGGGGGAGAGAGAATGAGAATGTCTGTATGTATGCCTATATGTGTGTGTGAGAGAGAGGGAAGAGGGGAGTGGAGAGAAAGAGAGATAGAGAGAGAGAGAAATTTGGAAGCCACAGTCTCTTTATAGCATTCTGTCACAGAGATACTCTATTGGTTAAAAGCGAGTCAGTAAATCTAGTCCACACTCACGGAAAGGGGATTACACATGAATATGAATGAATGTTGAGATGCGGGGATCATTGAGACCCATTTTAGAAGCTTCATAATCTTCACTGGTAAATAGGCTATTGGAATTAAGCCAGAGAGCAGTTTGGTATTACCCACCGAAGCTTAACGGGCACAAACCCTGAACAAAATTCCTGAAAGTTTTCTTTATAAATCTGTTCCATAGACATACTTGCACAAGTGTTTAAAAATTCATATGTAAGAATGTTCCCTGAAGAACTGTATTAGTGAAATTGAAAGCTCCCTCAATTCTAAATTACCGTTAAACAAATACGGTTCAGTGTATCTAGGAATTTGGTGCGATTGTTGGAGAGAAATAGATAGAGTTATGTACTGAGAAGGAAAGTACATTAGCTGTGTTTCTTTTTTAAAATTAAATATATTTTTAGCTTATTAAGGAATAATTGATATACACAAAATTACACACAATTAATGTATACATCTTGATCAGTTTGGATATAGGCATACACCATGATACTATCACCATAGCCAAGGTACTAAACATGTCCATCACTTCAACAAATTCAATGTGTCCTTTTGTGTGTGTGTGTGATGTGTTTTGGTAAGAATACTTAACATGAGATCTTCCCAGATTTAAAGTGTACAATACTGTATTGTTAACTATAGGTACTATGTTGAACAGCAAATCTCTAGAACTTATTTATCTTGTATAATAGAAACTTTATACCTACTGAAGAATGACTCCCCCTGCCAATGGCAACAATCATTCTATTTTCTGCTTCTACGAGTTTGACTATTTTAGACACCTCATTTAAGTAGTATTATGTAGTATTTGTTCTTCTGTGACTGTCTAAGCCATATTGTTAAGTGACAAAAGACAAGTTATGAAACAGTGCTTTTACTCCAGGAGAATCTCATTATTAAAAAAATGAATAAATGCAAAAGTTAAAGTTAAAAATAGGAAAGTTTTTATATGGTTTTATTTTTAAAATAATATTTTACTTTATAAACTTGTAAAGTGAAACTCTTTTGAATTGAAAATTTATAATAAAATAACTTTTTAAATAAAAGAATATTTATAGGCATAAGTAGTTTTAAACAATTATGTTACTAAGAGTATTTTTACTTTAATTGGATCCTAAGAAACTTGACATGCTTTAAGTTCAGATAAACATTATTCCAGATATAGATATTTTTCTTTTACTAACTTGATATCAGTTAGAAATTGTACAATCTGAGATTATGTCTCATATCTATAGTAAGCTTAAGTTCAAATAGTGGAAAAAATATGTTCTACAAAGTCATAGATAATATCATTTATATTAATATCATTTATTACATGTGATATATGATATATAATACTATATCATATATAATTATTGCTATAATATATAATATATATGATTTATGTATCAGATATTATATATCATATATTATGATATCTTATATTAGTATCATTTATATCAATAGGATTTTTATGAAAATCTCTGTAGGACAATAAGTTGATGGATCATTAAATATAGGAGAACAGCTCAATGGATTTTCCTTCTGATTAAAATAATAATAATAATAAAAGTAAGCCAGTCAAGTTGTATGACAAAAGTTGTTATATACTCTTTCCTCTTTTGTCTATTTATTACTTTTACTATTTAGGTTTCTGTTTTGTTGTAATACAAATATTCTAAAACAAGTAATGTTATTCAAATATAAACAAAAATCTCACAAAGTATAGATATATATTTTTTTAAAAGACAAAACCTCAATTACTGTAGCACCAACCTAATAACTTGATGTGATTTCATATAGTGCCCATATCCTGTAACTTACAGTCAGGAGAGACTGAATACCACCCACATACACGAAACACCTTCATGCACCCTGCTGGCCACTACCCTACTGAAAAACAGTGTCCTAATTTCCAATGCAATACATTTGAAATGTATATGAACAAATTCATACTAAACGTGTTCTTCTGTGCCTGATTCCTTTTTCTCAGTATTCGGTTTGGAAGGTTAACTTATGCCAAATGATTATTTATCCACACCACTACAGTCAATAGACAATTTGTGGTGTTTCAGTTTTTGGGTACTTGCAAATTATGATTCTGTGGTCATTCTTGATCTTGTCTTTTGGGACCCATATGTGTATCTGTTGAGTATATACTTAGGAAAATGAGAGTATGCATAAGTTGTATTTCAGTGGATACTTTAAAACAGTTTCTAAAGTGATTCATCAACTTACTCTCAAACCAGTACCTTTCAGGGACTTCCTGTCCTCTCAGCACTTTCTACAAGGAATGTTTGTTTTTAAGCATTTCTGCTGATTATGTTGTGAAATCTCATTTGGTTTTAAGTTACATTTATTTTATCATCATTGTTACTAAGTTTTTACACAATTTTTCACCATTTTGATATCTTCTTTTTGAAGGAATTGATCAGCCCCTTTGCCATTTTGCTTTCAATTTTGTTTTATATCTTCCTCTCATTAGTTTATAGTGGATCTTTATATATTTGATGAATCACTTATCGGGTAGATATTACAAGTGTCTTCTACCACTATGTGACTTGCCATTTTACTCTCTTAGTAATGCCTTTTGTAAGACAGAATTTCTTTTTTTTTTTTAATTCTTTTTTTTTTTTTTTTTTACTTTAAGTTTTGGGATACATGTGCAGAATGTGCAGGTTTGTTACATAGGTATACATGTGCCATGGTGGGTTTGCTGCCCTATCAAAGCATCATCTAGGTTTTAAACCCTGCATGCATTAGGTATTTCTACTAATGCTCTCCCTACCCTTGCCCCTCAACCCCCAAACTGAGAAGCCCAGGCATGTAATGTTCCCCTCCCTGTGTCCATGTGTTTTCATTGTTCAACTCCCACTTATGAGTGAGAACATGCAGTGGTAAAACAGAATTTCTTTAATGTAGCCCGATGTTCGCCTAGGTGAAAGGCATTAAGATATCCTTCTTTGTTACATTCTACTACATGTATTGGTTTACTTTTTACAGTTAGATTTACAATGCACTTGGAACTGATTTTGTGTATGGAGTGAGGTAGAAATTAAGATGTATTTTTCCACATGAATAATAAATTGACCCAGTATAATTGACTAAAAATAATATCGTTTCCTCACTTCCACATAATGCCATTTGTATCATAAGTCAGATGACCAGCTATGTGCTATTTTTTTTTCTGGACTCTTGATTGTTTTTCAACAATCTCATTGTTCTCTGTCCACTAATGTAACACTGTCTTACATATTATATTTTATAATATTTTTGATGCAAACTTTTGTAGGTATCCCAAATTTGTTCTTCTTTAAAGTTATCCTTGCTATTCTTTGTCCCATGCATACTCATATGAATTTTACATATATTTTTGTCAATTTCCATAAATGTTTGTCTGTTTTTATTAAAAAAAAGTGTTTGTTAGTCATATTATTCAAATATTTTTGTATTTTTACTGATTGGCTGTCTGCT